GGTTAATTTATCAGGGAAGACTGAAAGGTTTCTCACTTTTAAGTCTACTAAAGCAAAGCATGCGAGTACATGGACATTCATAGTCAATCTGTCCAAGAGAGAAAAAACACCAATGTGAGAAATGCTGTTTAAATTTAAGTAAGGCAACACTGGCTTAGAAACAGAGTGGGTATAAGGTGGATATGCACAGGCTAGAAATAAAATCCCTAATGGATGGACAGTCTGGAAGAACTTTCCAGCAGGAGCGGAAGGGCAAAAAGCTCACTTAAAAACCCATTAAGAGTACTTAAAACATACCCAAACCTTTTGCTGAAAATCCAGGAGAGTGAGAAACATGTTGATGTGGCAAATGTGGCAAAAAATGGCTGATTTTCTGTACGACCCTTTCTGATGAAGCTGATTGAGCCCTTTGCAGACATCAAGTCGTATCCCCCCCTGTCCCCGAAGCGCGCGCGCTGCGAGGTAAAGCCCGAGATTGCTGGGTTCGGCCGTGTGTTCAACCTATTTGTAAAAAAATGCCCAAAGGGCAAACATAAGAGAGTCTTCTCCTTTTTCTTCCAGAAATTTTTGTGGTCTGCACCAGTTTGAAATAAATTAAGGTGAATTCAAACCAATTAGATGAGTCACCAGCAAGAAATATAAAGTGGGGAGTTTATTTAAAACCTCGCCATATGAAATGTAGCGCATGGGCTTGTTGAACAGATGCAATATTCAGCTTGACTCAATGTCTCTAACATGTCTAAGAAAAGAAGCACTACTTTCTGTTTGTCTGTGTTGCACAGATTGCTGCAGAAAGTCCCATCAATTTAGAAATTCAAGTCTCAGACCAAGGAAGCTCCTGTGGTTGGAACCACTTCAATGACCTGAGCCTCCAGAAAAGCTCCTTTCCAGAGGTCTGCACATCCCATTTCCTACCAGATTTTATACCAGTGTAAATTTTCTTAGGAAAGCCGCTGCAGGATAGATAAAGCCTGGCTTTGCACAGCAATTCAAGTAGACCGTGCTTTATTCTATGCCAGGGGAGCAGTAGATGCATTTTGGTAGAACATAGGGCAAGAGGGAAAACTTGAAATTGATAAATTAACTTTAAGACAGATTTGTCAAATGCTTTAAAAAACCTTGGGTGGAAAATACAGTGCAAAAATCCTAATCAAAACACGCAAGCCAGCACCAGGAGGTAACTCACAGCAATAGCCTGTATTTGTCCCTTCCTTCCCCGGTTTCGGGTGGCAAAGCCATGCAGCATCCTCTACCACTGCTGCGGGGGCCAGGAGGATGCCCCGTTAGGAGCTGCAGATACAGGCAACCCATATGCTTGTAACCAAGCACTCCTGTTTCATCCACAGACATGAAAATGAGCTGGTATCACACAAGATTATCCCATAATTATGGGATTTTGCCAGCGTGCCTACCCTGTGCCCCATATTACACTGAACATTGACCACAAGAGAAAACTGATGCAAAGACAAAGCTCTTCTCATCAAGGATGAGCCATTTCAAGCACTTACATGCAGTAAAATACATTCATATATGTGATGCCAGTCAGGCCTGAAGCCAATGGAAAACCCAGAAATTGTAGCTCAAGTCACCTATTTTGTAGGATTGGGCTTTGGAGGGGGAGCCATCATGAGCTGCAGCGGTCCCAGAAGCTATAGGCAGGAGCCAGAAGCAGGATCAAACAGATTTGGGATGAGGGCAGCTCAGCACAACCTGAATCTTCCAGAACATTTTAGTAAATGTGAACACAGAAATAACATAACTAAAAAATAGCCACGCTGCCATCAGCAGATGGAGCGGGGAGATGTAAAAGAACAGTATTGTAAAACAGGCAATCCCGGTCATACAGGACAGACTCATCTCGGGTCCAGAGGGGTACAAGTGCTGCTGAGAAGAGATGCTGGGCATTTTTCGTACCTTGGAGCTTGCCAGGCGATGGCCATGAGCAGCAGTGAGAAGCAATATCCCACATGTTACTTTTCAGAGGGGTTTTACAGGGATGACCTTGAACCTTCTTTAAAAAGGTCACTGAGGTCTAGCCTAGAATCTCCAAGCCCACTGAAATCAGTGGGACACCCACCTACCCCCCAAGCAAGCCCCACACCCCCCAGGCACCTTTCCCTCTCCATCCTTCCCTCCCTCTCCCACCTTACCCGCAGGCTCAGCCGCTCTCCCCCATCCGTCCCATCTCCTCCTGCATCTCACAGCCACAGCCACCGATGCTGGAGCCAGTTCCTCCTGGGCTTGTTAGCCAGTTTCTGGTTTCCTGTCATCATCTGAATCACTAACCCCAACATCCGCCGCCTGGCCGGTCAGCCCCTCGCCAGCTCACGAGAGGGACCCACGGGTGCTGCTTGCACAAACTCACCCGAGGCAGCCTCTTGCAAGAGCATTTCAGTTTATCTGCCATGGGGAGAGGAAGAGGCTGGGACGGCGAGGAACCATGCATGCCGCCAACCTCCCTTCCCAAGCAGCCCTTGAGTTCCAGATGGGGCTGGTGCCCCTTGAAAATTTCAAGTTTCCTTTTAGCAAAGAGCCTTTGCAGGATTTAACACTGTGCACTGGAAGCGGCAGACGCTGCCCGGAAAAACTCAAGATAAAGCAAGCAGCAAGCCCTCTCTTGGATTTCACAGAAAGAGGATATCTAGTCTCAAGGCAGCAAATAGCCTGAGTCACCATCACGAGCGGCCAAACCTGGAGTTCTTATCCAGAGCTGTAAGAATGAAACTATTTCTTATGCTTTGGTGTTGGCAGTTTCCAGGCATCAGACACAATTTCACTGTACTCTTAAAAAAACCCCAACCAGTAGTTCCTTAATTTTTTTGTGCTTGAATAGAATAAGGAGGGTTTATGAATAATGGGGAATTTATTTACTGGCTTAGAGCCACATTGCAGCCCAGGGAGCACGCACATTGCAGCCCAGGGAGCACGCATCCTGCTCTAGGAATAGGAAAAGTCTGCACCTGCACATAACAGCCCCGTGCAGTTGTAGCTACCGGAGAGCACAACAGCCAGCCAGCCAGGCACACACTTCATAACTGCAAACCAAACAGCATTTCGCTCTCTAAGGCTCTATAATATCCCTCTTACATACGGCCGTGTAAAATATTCAGTAAAGGGAAATTTTTCTCTAATTAAATTAGGGCACTCTCAAGCTGCCACAGCCAGTCATCTGCATCCATCCCTCCCTGAGAGAAGGGGGGTCTTCTACCGTAAAAACGATAAAAGACCCAACTGTTCACAACTCTTACAACCCTGGGATGGGAACTTGGCAATCAAGGTTCAGAGGAAATGTTGCTTTGACAAGATAATTAACCATGGTGTGCACAAACAGATTTAGACTGTTTCTCTTCCAGTTCTAACCCGAGGTGCCCAAATCATTGCTTGCACAGACCTTTCGGAGCCATCCCCACACAAAATCCAGGTGCAGAAGCCCATCTTGAAATCAGTACCTATAACCTGAACCAAAGAGAGAGAGAGGCCCAGCTTTGAGTTGTTTGTATGGCTTTTG